CATGGACTGGTCACATGGACTGGTCACATGGACTGGTCATCAATTGTTCGGATGTGACCAGTCATCATGTCCAGCCATTGAGCAGCTGTCATATTTATCAGTGTATGTAGGAGACTAATAGCACACCAATTTTCTTTATTGTTTTACTGTGTTTCTATGGGTAAGTGACCCTATGGTTGATGAAACATTATACAGTTAGTTACTAAAAATACAGTAATAATTTTAAACTCACCAATGCGACGGAATGCTAAAACCAGGTTATCAGTGCCATATTTATTTGTTGCTGTACACCTATAAAATGCACCTTCCTGCTCTTTAGGAACTTTGACGCGGCTGTGATTTGTAGTCTTAACAGGAGATGGATGTACGGTGTGGCTTGAAGGAAGTGACCTCCATTCGCCTTGAGAGGGAAAGCAGTCCACCTGACTAGTAACRCAAGGTTGGTACATCCAGCTAAAGGATGCAGCCGGGTTGCTTTTTTCAATCTTACATTCTACCTCACTTGGTTCATTATTAACTTGGAAAAAGGGATCTTTGCGCTGCACAATAACTGGTTGAACTAAAAATCAGAGAGAGTTGACATTAACTAGTGATTCCTGTTCTGACAGTCATCTTATATTACCAGTTGTAAGATGCTTTGATGTGGGATAAAAAAATTTTTTAAACTAACTTTTATGACTTGACATCATTTCCTTTAAGGGCCTCTTCTGCGAGGTTCCCTCCACATGCACCACCACTACATTCTATATTTACAACACTAAACTCGCATGTTGGTTTTTATAGAGGGAGGAAACCATACAACCAAGGGAAAAAACCCTTGTACTACTCTTCCCAGTAGACCAAAGCCGTCATGATTTTTGTAATGGATTTCATAGTGTCTGTCATTTTAACCGCAAGTGCATTCTAAATCATCAACATGATAGCATGTGGACAAGTTTTTACACCACATGACAAAGTGCAGAAGGTTTTTATCAAGTGGTGTAAAAAGCTTGCCCATGTGGCCAGCATCGGCATCATGTGGAAGATTTGAAATGCACTTGCAGTTAACATAACAGATGCGGTACAAAGGTGGAAAAAAATCACAATAACATCACAACTGACTGGGTCCACTGGGAAGAGTAGTAGCAGGGTAGAGAACAAGACATCAAACAAACTCAACTCACATATGCAGTTCAGGAGAGAATTGAAAACTTGAACATGTAGTTCCAAAAATTATCCATACCCCCCTCACGGAGGAATTTTTTAAGACACCCACCTACCCCCCGGAAATTCCAATTTTCTTCCATACTTAATTYACATTCTGAATGGCTGTATTTTCAATGTCAATTATAAATCATTTACTTACTTTGCACATTAACATCTATTGTTCTGTTCACTTCCCCTTGAGTATTGACAGCTTTACAAGTGTATTTTCCTTGGTCATCTGGAAAGTTGGTGTCCAATATTGTCAGACTACCATTTATCTTTGTGTGCTTGGTAATTGGTTTCGATGTAATCTTGTATTTTTTGTCATTGCAAACTTTAGCTACTTGAAAAGGTTTACATTCTTTTATTTTAATCTGCTTGCCATCTTTGTACCAATATACATCTGGCCGTGGATGTCCATATGCGTAGCAATGCAAGGTCGTTTCATTAGAGTGCAACGACAAGAGTGGGGAACTACTGGATGACAGAATCTTTGGAAATTCATGCTCTGAAAAAAAATGACAGTAGTAATAAGATAACTTGAAGTTTTAAACAGGAGATATCTAGAAAATGGATGGGAAGGATATTTTATTATAATTCAGAATATATTGTTATTCAAAAGGGAAGACAGTCAAAAAAGAAACCACAGGACTTATGACATTTGGACTGTCTTTTCTGTACTTTGAATGTTTTAAAAGGAAAAAAATATTTATAAACATCAATACTGTATGCATATACATGCACATAATATGATCGGSTGAAAATATTATAATAATATAGTGCAAAAGTACAAGAATCTGATATTGGTGAAAGGATTGAAATAATTAAGTGCAAGTCAGAGTCCAATCAGAATATGTGATTTATCAGTAATTAATATATAAAGTCGTTAGCAGCTCAGGAGTAGAAATACAAAGAATTAAGCAAACACTGAAATAAGAATTAAGTTCTTTTAGTTTGTTTGTTTGTTTGTTTGTTTGTTTTTTCTTTTTTCTTTTGAAAGTCTTAAGGCCGGTTTAGACAGTATGATTTTCGTCTACAACTATCGCATGCAACACACTCGCGCCATCCTACAACTCGAGTYGTAGCGTGTAAATCAAGCCTACAACTTGCCTACGACAGACGTGAGCGTGTTGTTTACGATAGTTGTAGGCAAAAATCTTACCGTCTTTAGACTGTCTTAACTTGAGTTAATTCCTTGAGGGAATTCTAGAATTTGGGACCTTGATATACTATGGTAAATTGCTTAATATTAGTATGACAATGATGAGGTCTGAGGTTCCCTGAATTTCTGGTTTAATAATTAACATATACAGTACAGTAATTTTCAAAATTAAAGTGAACTGGCCAAGAAAATCCAACTTAAAGTTTATGCAAATGAACACTATTTTGTATCAGATTTACAACACTCTTCGCAGTCATGATTTCTGTTATGTTTTTCTCATGAATTATTAATGAGTTTATCAAGGATATTTAATAAGAATTGTTTTGATTAGAATACATAAACATACCTACTTGGAGTAGGTTTATTTGTYGTAAAGTCAAGAGATTATTGTCAAGAAATAGAGGCTATGTATGAGCATCATGACTAGATTTGGTAATAATACACATAGCTCTTTTTTGAAGTTCAACAATTTTTTGCAGGGTTGTTGTATAAGTAGGAGCCCAAACAATATTCCCATAATATAAGTAAGGACATACAAGAGAAAAGTATAAATCAAAAAGAGAAGTTGAAGGTAGGAAGAATCTTGCCTTTGATATAATTCCTATCTTGATGTCATTATCAATTTTACCAACCTAAAATCAACAGTTTATACACCATTATTACTTGTACCTACCATATACTTCTAATGTTGAATATTTGAAGTCTCCTTTCCCTTGGTAAGTCATCTTGCAAATGTAAATCCCAGCATCGTTTTTTTGTGCATTCTTGAACATTAATACCASCTTTAACTTGTTTATCTCAAGATCTTTCTCTGTATGTATTTGATTACTTGGTACAGCTGTCTCAGAACCATCAGTATRCTTCTTAAACCACTTWAGAGTACTTTGAGRCACAGAAGAACAGGTGACGTTATACGATTGTCCCRTTGTCAAGACAACAGCAYGMMYAGGATSGATATCGAGTGGAGGTGTTAAGCTAGGATTAGGAATCAAATTAGCCAATCGGTCCGACCATTTGATAGTAGCCCCTGAACCATTAGTAGCACGACACTGGTATTGTCCTGCATTAGATATACCAAAGCCCAAAACTGTGTACACMTGACCAGATTTAATGAGTTTGCCAGGTGTTGGTGAGAGCAGATTCCAAGCACTTCCTATAGACTGACGATGATATAATTGTGTAGTGGCATTTCCATCATTTGTTGTACAATTCAGCTTGAAGTTGGACCCAAATGGAACAGCATAAAACATTTGTGGGGTGAATAGGAACTTGAATTCAGCTGATACTGTGGACAAAAATACAGTACATACAGTAATACAGTTTGATAGATCATACAGTATGTTAGTAAGTACAGACAAAATATTTAAATTTTAAATGACTTAAATATTTCTCTCTTTTTAAATTAAATAATAAGGCTCCTGTTGGTAACATCAACATTTTTGTAACTGAAAGGGCTTACGCTGTTAAAATAAAGGTGTTTAATTCATTAGCACATTAATAACAGCTAGCAACAGGTAACCATTAGAAGTGGAGCTATGTGATCATGTTTTCTAGAGAGAGTTATTAGCCAGGCAACTGCATATTAGACGTACTATAGTGTAATGATTACCTGCTTTGGAAGGCCAAATAGAAGAGAGTTACAGATGTCAATTTTTGAAGTAACAAAGGTGTGAATCTGAGTTTCAGTAGCAGTAACAAATATATWTTTTCTTATTCTTGATAAATATTTGTTATAATAGGTGGTATCAATTAACATTCCTTAATTTTATATAAAGCATGCTTCACTCTCAGTTGATCCTTTCTTCAGTTTGAAAAATATAGGTAAAAAAATTGTCAGCAATATAATATAATTAAAACAGAACATACACAAAATAGAAACTACTCTTACTCTTACTCAGATATATCATGCACAATTTATTAGTTGTTTTTCTGGCTGGTATCTAATTTATTCCTCTTAAAATTGCATATGACCAAGCATTTTAACACCATTTTAAACGAATCAACAAGATAACTCTGATGTTATAATCTTCTTCATGAAAAACATACCCCTCCATCATTAATTCTATATGTAAAGCTAAATAAGATATCAAAGAGAAGATGACGTTTGATTTAACCATGCTTCACTTAAATCATTGCTTTGTAAGTATACTTTCCCAATTAGTGATCAACCATCTAAATACTGTATAAGAAAGGTTTAGAACCCTAATACTGATGTTTCAATATTGTGAGTTCTTTGTCAGAGTAAAAAGAATCCCAAATTCAACAGTACAATACGTTTTTAATATTTCAAGAGAGAAATGCAATTATCATTAATTTACTTATGGCCCTAAGCCTGGGGGGTACTCTGCCAGAATTTGGGTAGGGGTGTTCCGCTGGGATTCTGAAAGGGGTACCCTGYTTATGACAAAAAAACTTAAATTTGTAGACCCTGTKTATGACAAAAGATATAATTTATTGCACTGAGTTCCTGTTGTTTCAATTATCATGTCATTCTCGCGTATCGTTTTTTTACAACCATAATAACCAGTTTCGGTCAATACGAAAGCATTGAGTGAAATTGCATACCCTGTTTATGACAAGAAGCTCGAAAAATCACACCCTGTTCGGCGGATCATCCCTGTATAGTCCATATATGGGAGTACCCCCCCCCCCCGGGGCCCTAAGCGCCAACTACTATTAAACCTCTAGTTATTATCATTTCCCCCCTGAAAATATTTAGTTTAAAATTATACATAGGTATAAACAAAAAAGAGACAACTACTAATCCACCTTTATCTTTCATTTTCAATTCAAGAATATTAAGTAGTTTCACTGTTTCAAATTAATCTACCCTGCTTGCAGACATCCTTTTCACTCAATCCTCAGGTCTTAGGGTAAATTTTATTCTATATATTCTTTAGATTGTTTATTCAAAAAAACTGCTTTCTTTATACTAGTTATGCCTAACAATATCAAAAATAAGAGTATGTGGTGACCAAAATTTTAAGAATGTTAAACATTTTGATAGGCAAACCTCTTTAAATAGTTTTTCTGATTTAGATTTCTGATAAAGACATGTAATTAAAAATATTTCCCAGATAACCTTTGCAGAAGCAATGTAAAATACAATATATCTGGGAAACTTCCTTCATCACAACTTTTATTTATTTCYTTTATCCCTTTTCTAGCTATAGCTTCACGTCACCTCTTAAACTGAAGACTAAAATGTCACATACATGATGCACACAATGTACTTATAGTAGAACACAACTAGAAAGGATTTTTGTGTCAATAGGTCACTTATCAAGTCACTAAACCTCTTGATTTCGACATGTAACTTGAGCCTTTACATGTGTGTCTATCTCTCTCTATCATATAATACCAGTAGCCATGCCTGCAGATAATCATTATATATGTATTTACCATATGAATTGTAAATATTTAGAGAGAATTCTTTTCATATTTGAGCAGTGAGTGCCAAAAACTATTTTCTTGAAGAAAGGCTGTTGTACAAGGCTAAAATCTTGTTATTSAGAAAGTTYAACTTGTTTGGAAGTGGAGATGACYGATKAAAGTGGAATCAAAGTGTTAACCCAAAGCAAAAATTTTATTTGAAAATGAGGTTTAGGCCTTCATTTGCTTATTTCCCATATATTTTCTATAAAAAAGCCTGACAAAGCAACATTCTAACACAAATTCAACAAAACATCTTTGTACAATTTAAAATACCGCTTCAAACAGGCATTTTAAAATAAAATTCCTCTTAATGTACAATAACTATATATGATCTTGAATGTTACATGTAAAAGATAATTCGTAAAAAGCAATATCCAAACGAACAGAAATTTGGGTACTAATTAGAGGTATTCTATAATAACAATACGAACACTACAGCTAAAAACTGATAAGTGTAAGCGAGAGCTGCCAGTAAAATGAAAAATGTCAATCAAATCGAAATATAAATAAAATTGTTTGACCAATGTAATTATAGCTAGCACAAGCTCATTGTAATAATAACTAATTATTAGTTCATATTTATGCACCACTTAATAAGTGAAGGTTGGAAATAGYATGAACAACAACATTTAAAAAAGAATAAATAAAGTTGAAAAAGTTGTGTTTTTAAGTTTTTGGCGTGTGAAACAATAAGAAGAGCGAGAYGTACTGTAGGTTTTATTAGTACGTCCAAGATCGATGACGCGTTTATAATTATTAAATAACACGTGCTTTGTAAGTCAAAAAACACCATATTAATTCAAACTCATTAAGTTTTGTTCTTGTACGAAATCTCTAAATAAAATGTTMAATTCAAAGCTGCAAAAGTCTAAACATGGGTGAAAAAAATTCTTCCGACGAGCTGGTGTAAAATTCGTTCAATGAAATGACAGCAAGTTCTGTTCGTTTTGAAGGACTTTTCAATCGTTTTGATGTGTTTATAAGAAATCAGCCTAAAGATAGTCATAATTTAAACAGAACTTGGTTATCATCATTGGATTATAAGGAAAAAATATGAACAAATATGCTTTTAATGTATATTTACGTTAGTGGTTGCGTTAAGACAGAAAAAAGCTGTATGGCGCTGGTTTTAAGTTAGAGATATTTTATACGACTTCGAATTAATATCCCTGATTTAATGGTACTAGTTCTAAAACTGAAGCTTTATTTATCCCTACACAATCAAAAGTATATTAGGATTGAATGATACTACTAAAGCTATCCTTGAATCGTACCTTGATGTGCTTGGGAAGACAGAAGAACAAGAATACACGTGAACAAGATGATCCTAGCAAGGGGCTGCTTGCCAATCCACGCCATTCTCGATCGCAAAATTTAACCCAAAAATCCCTCTATCAGGGCCAGAATTTGGCCTCACTGGACGAAAAAATTAAATATGATCGGCGATTTCAAAGTAATTCTTTGTTAAAGACTCAAGTTCAGGTGCGGTTGGACGCTAAGTTAGAATAGATGGACATTCAAAACACAGGAAATGCTTAGGTGTGGTATGATCTCATCCACTCATTGACCAATCACATTCCATAGACATGACGTCACGAACACTTGACGGCCCCCTAACAGGCAGTCACGGAATCATGGCGAATAGTTTCGGAATTTTGTCGGGCTTTCGGGAAGTATCTAACGGAATATGGAGGCGGAGAGATATTTAAATATTGAACAATGTGAAAGAAAACTGTGCAAAACTTGTAGTCTTTGGGTGGCATATCTTTTAGCAACATGTAGCAAGTAGAACGTCGAGCAATTTTTGTTCAAACAATCTCGTTAAAAGGAGTAATGATGGGAAACGAAAAATATAGCATTGTGTGTGTTCTAACGAATATTAGAAATAGCAACCAAAAAACACGTCTCGGACTACATTCTTGTAGGAGGTCGGCAAGAAAACTAATATATAGCGCTAATACATCTGTTCAACAAATTGATTATATAATTTCGTCTGAATTTCTTATCGTCATTGTCTTAATTCCATTTACTCCCAAGCCGAGTCTGTTTAATATTCAGAGACAGCGCTTGCGTTAACCTTGAGGTTAAAAGCATCTGGTAAAAATAATCGTCGATGTTTGGCTTGTGGTAAACCAACAGTCTTAAGACACGTACGGAAATGATTCACAACTGAAAAGAAAATAGGAATATAATCTAGGTTGATCGAGTTTGACCACGATGACGAAATATGGCGACGGACATGTAGTCTAGTTCGTCATCCCTGTAGGAAAAAGTCGTCAAGAAGCCGTCTTTCTATTATGCACCATCTTGCATTAAAAACCTTTTGTTTTTATAACGTAAGTACTGACTCTCTCTTTAGAGCATTTTTTTTTCTTTTTTTTCTTTTTTTTTTTTTTTTTTTTCTTTCGTTTTTCCCTTTTTCTTTTGTCCACTTAATTGTCTATTTCTATTATTTTGTTTCAGTCTACTGCTGACAACTCGTGGTTCCGTTAAAATAGTATCTACATAACCTGATCAGGTCTCAGTGTGATGTTCATAGGAGTTTTTCCAGACCCTTTGTGTAATATAATATTGCTTGAATAGAATAAAACCGAAAGTTGGCTTTGCGATTTTGTTGGCCTTCCAAGATATAAAAGTTGATAAATAACAAGCTAAAAGATCAGGTAGGTATGATCTTCAGCACTGTGATATCGCTCCCTATCCTACCTACCACAGTTCAACGTTCATCCTACCATTCCTCTAAAAACACTCAGTCGAATATGGCTGAATTTTTTTTTATAAAGAAAAGATATCTTTTAATTCCAATTAATTCGTAAAGCTTTCTAGAACCTAATAAAACCAAAATGTGTCACTAGTGGGTTGCCAATGGTAGACTGATCAACATTGGTGGTAAGATTAAAGGGTTTAATTGCCCATCAAACAAAGGCGAGCTGATTCTTATAGAGTACAGCCAAGTGCATCTGCTGTCTAATCCCCGTATAGACAACCTTGTGACTTCTCAAGGGACTTCCTGAAGCAGGAAGCAGGCGTATACTGTTATTGTAAGATGAACACTGTTTGATAATGATTAGCCTGCTTGATTATATTCAGACCAACTGTTTTAACACACCCTGTAAGTGATACCCATGGTTTCGCTCAAACTGTCTGGGAAATTTGTACTGTGAAAATAAGTTACGTGAAAAGCGGAAAAGTGTCCAAGTATCGATAAACAAACTCCTAGAGTGTACGACTTATAGGAAGAAAGTAGGAAAAAAACAAAACAAAAACAAACAAAAAAACAAAAAAACGCAAAAAATGAAAAAAAAGAAACCAAACCAAAGAGAGAAATAAAGCAAAGAAATGATAAAGGAAAAAATGAAATGAATGAATGAGAGAGAAAATGAATGAATAGATGAATGGACGAATATGACGAAAAAAGAATACCGTGACATCAGGTCACAGTTGTTGTTCAAGGTCAAGCTTCATAAGTATACACTATCTCAATATTTTGATCTCCAGGAAATAAAGACCTTGGGATCGTTTTTTCCCAGTTTTGTTAGCACTGATATTCCATGACTTTTTAACCATCTAACAGTACTTCCTCCTTCTTTAATTTGCCTCTGATTCAGTTGTGGTGAATTCAATCGGAGAAAAGAATACCAAACAAGCGCTTATCATATCAGGTAACGTCCTGGTTTCTCTTCCGGTTCTGCAAATCTAGTTTTTCTCTGTTCTCTCTAGAATGAATTATCGACAACTAGTTATAATCAATAAGTATGTTGGTGAAAAGAATAACTGATTAAAATCCAACATTGTTTCCTGACTTTCGTCGATTATATATATATATAATATCGTATCTCAAGGAAGAATGCCTTAACATGAAACTGAAATGGAAAACGGAAATAGAATAAGAAAGTGATCTATAGTCTGCGGCCTTAGGGGTGGGAAAAAACTCTTAGTACTGATGAAATGCTAATGACAGCAAGACTTATACGCACACTGAGTTCTAGACTGTGTTCATAATCAAAATGTTATTATTATTAATTCATGATTTTTTCCCGGAAGAATTCGAAGCTAGTTTGCATCACAAAACGTTTATCAGAAACCATTTTAAGTATGATTATCAATCAATTTTTAAATGTCGGCCCCGGACGCCGGCCCAATCTACGAGTTCATCAGCGATAAGTAGCGATAGAAAGTCTGGTGAGACAATCTGAAACGGTGAGCTGAATTCACTTTCTTAATTAATCCGGGGGTGTAACAGTGAAGGTCACATCCGTTTTTTCCACGAAGTCACGCTTTTTACTCTTCATCAATCTTTACTTTCCAGCTTTTGTGTAGATTTTGAACTTAACGAATATCAACTGACTGATAAAATGAACCTCAAAGCGTCTCGTCCATATCCATACTTACCTTCATCGATAACACATGGCATATGAATCACATTTTAGCATAGGAAGGGCGTGGATTTTCAACCAAAACTATTACGGAAAGTGTAAAACCACTAGAAAAATTTGAACGAACTATTCAACGTTATATTCTGTGAGTATTTGTGTGTGTGTGTGTGTGTGTGTGTGTGTGTGTGTGTGTGTGTGTGTGTGTGTGTGTGGTGTGCGTGTGTGTGTGTGTGTGTCATTTCCTCGGCCTTATCCTTATCCCTCCTCATTCACCCACCAGTCAAGAAGAAAAATTAATACTCTAGTGAGAGCAACGATCATCCTTTTTCTCTTAATAATACTTTGCCTCGCTAATCAAATATATTCAACACCCTCTGTATTGCATATTGCGGTTTTGTCCTGATGGAAAGTGGGCGAGTTGTAGTTTATATATAATGACAAAGAATGAATTCAAATTTCCTTCTTTAAAAGATCGCGCATCGCGTCGTTACGATGCGTCATCGATAAGATTCAGTAATGATTTTGGTGACTGTCAGAGAGCTCTCGCTCCAGTGCTTTGCGGTCGCTAGACTCGGTTGCCCAGATCGCTCTCGGCCAACCCTTTAATTTGGTAGAACATTTCACCAGTGGATGAATGGTTAAAGCACATTTTCCTTTGGCATCCTCATCGACCAAATCGTTAGGGGATGCCTGGCACTGTAGCATTCGTGGTGACCTGCAATGAACATGCATGCGATGCAGGTATGGAAGGGGGGTGGGGGTGGGGATTTTGCCTTGACTGAAAGGATACTCCTAAATCAGGTGAAGGGATACTCCTCATATTCTTCGTCACATTGCTCATGATTACAGAATGCCGGTCACAGATTAAATGCCCGGCAGTTTTCGACGATTTCTCAGTAAAAATCGGATTAAAATCGATTGAAAAATACGGGGAAAAAATTTTTTTTTAGATTTAGTAGGCATACGTTTCAGGTCACCCATCCAGGTACTAACTTCCCTCAACCGGACTTGACTCAGTGTCATGGAAGCCCAAGTTTTTTCCACTGGACCACGGTTCCAGGTAAATCAGCATAACAATAGCCGTGAAAACAATGCACCGAATAGACTAGACTTTTTGACAATATCATTTCAACCGATTCCGTGCGTGGCAGAGATGCAAGGGATTAGCCGATATGGTCTGGGGGCCGGCTGGTCTCTCCCCTGATGCTTCGGCTAGAACATTTTCTTGCGTAATTCGTACACCCAAGGGCAGAAGGATTTAATCGCCGTCAGGTCCGAAGTCCATACGACGCCCCAGCTCTGCGGATGTCTCGGGGGTATGGCAAAGTGGAATCGATTTTTTTTTTATTTTTTTTATTTCTGTCGGTGATTCTCGTATCCAGATAAGATTGTCTATTTTTTCAATGCATATTATTACCATATCTTTTTAGAAAGATCGACTATTCTATTCCTTTTTGCTCATATTGACGACTCTTAAAACTCCAGTGTATGCAGGCTAGCCTCACTTCTAAGGTATTTTTTCTAAACTCCTGGGAATAGTTTACTAAGAGCTATCACTCCTCTTGGTTTTGATTCTCGGTATACTTCGTCTTATTTTATTTGCAGCAACGTCCCCTATATGGGCTTCTCACTGATTTTGGTTTTGTAACTTCTGTCACTTCTGTCACTTCTGTCACTTTTGATTTGTTCTTTGTTTCCACATGAGGTCATAGCCGCCATCTTGTTTGTAACAAATTAACTCTGCACGAAATTTTTGTTTTATGCTTGCTTGATTTTTTTTCTGAAAGGAGAGGTTGGGCTAATTTTTTTTCCCGTAGGGGAAGTGCTTGTTCGAATTTATTTATATATTTGGACTTACGAAATCCCCCCTCAATCATGTAATGGTCCATCCCTGCCATAGTAATGCGATGAATGACATTTTCTTAATTAAGAAAGTTTGTAAAATTTTACAGTTTTCAAAGGAGATTTTTTCAAAATTTTGTAGTAATCTAACTTCATTAGATTATCTTTCATATGGCAAGAAAAGAAAAGATTCGGTGATACAGAATTTTAGATCACGTGACTTCTTGGTTTTATTGAATAAAATGTTTTCCATTGTTCCGAATTCGTTTATACTTTGTCAAGCACTTTAACTTCGTATGAGGAAAACTATCTCTACATATAGACCTTTTACTGCATACGGCGGTCATCTTTAATTATGGTATGCCAAGGGAAAAACACCGTAGGAAAGTCTTGGTGTTTCGCATATTGCTCTAACTACCAACAAATTTTATTGCTTTTTARATGTGCTTCTCATTGTTAAGCGTAAAGTTTTAGACATCCTGACAGCTGAGCAGCTTCCCATAATCATGTCTTAATTAAAACAATATTATTCAAGATGGCCGCTTTTGGGTTCGCGTCGCGATAACCCGTGCGACTTTTTCACAACGTCATCATAATAAAAAAATTATGAAAAAAAATTCAAGTTCAACTGGCGGTATTGCGCATGCGTGTATAAAACTCTTCAGAGCCGGTAATGGGTCTTTTCAAAATTGACTATTTTTAGGGGATAATGGCGGCATGTGAAATTGGTGAAGGCTTCCAAGCTGAGAAGKCAGAGGGGTACAAAAATGCATTTAAATTTGATCAAGGTTGTCATCTAAGCTGAATGAAGTTACTCCATTGTGTAGTGAAAAAGACCGGCCCCCTCCCTCAGTCACACCAGTTGCCTTGGACCTAAAAACGTTGTCTACAGCTCCGAGGCAGAAATTGTAGAACACGGGCACAGCGCCAAATCGATCATGAATACGTACGTTCTGAGTGTAGATAGATGGAGAGCACTCCGTGGAATATGGGAGACGATCGCTATCGCTTAATGCCCGGGACAAAAGCTTTCTCAATCTGGTACTCTAACTAGCCTGAAAATGAAACCTCAAAAGCGCAAAAAGGCGAAAATTTCTACGTTCCCAGAACGTGATAAATTTAAACGGTTTCATACTTGTTGCGCTAGTTGCGCTTGTGTTATGCTATTCAAGGGCGCGCCTCCTGCAGGCTTGAAGAGACGACCCTATATCACAAATAACATCTTGAGTGCACATGCTCATGGTATGTTGGGTCAAACGAAATCAAAAACCAGAGAAATCGATATATACAGTATCATGGGCTAAGAATGCTCGATATTCGTTCAATAAAGTACAAAACACATACAAACAATTTATCGACGACAGACGAGGGTAACTCAAATCTCGTTAACTGTTCTAGAAATTCTTGTTAAACTGGATTTTCCAGTTACGCACAGTTGAGCTAATCAAAAGTCTTGTCATGCCGGTATTTCCGGTTGTACTTGCTTTGGGTGCCTGTTTGTCTAGTTATACAATGTGATAAAGACACAAATACTCACAGTATAGTTGAGACGAATTAAGACCTTGGCCAAGGCTTGACTCTTCACTAGAGCGAAGATGACGACCACTTCTTTTGCTTGGCTGTCTTTTCCTTTTCTTCTTCTCCTTTTGCATAGTGTTTACTCARGTAAGCTTCGCTGCTGTAATTATATTCATATATTTATTAGCATTGACCGTCACATGGTCTTGAAACCTGTATAATGCCTTGATTTGGCACTTTTGGCTGATATTTCGAGTTTAAAACATTAGTTCTTCAGTTCTTCTTCTTTTTTTTTTTTTTTTTTTTTTTTTTTTTTTTTTTTTTTTTTTTTTTTTTGAGGCAGCTTTGATTTTTTCTTACCCATAGAAAAGTTACAGTTTCTCAAGGTCCCCAAAAGTCGAGAGTTCCTCCCAGTGGGTGCAAACTTGACTATCGACTGCACAACAAATGGAACAGCGCAAACCGCTGTGTATTATCGAAGGAAGTTAAAGACTGTCAGATGGAAGAAGATCGAAGCTATTCCTGGTAAAGTGATCCACGAGGGATCAGTGTATACCTTACTGACTTTAACCAGGAAAAACGCAGGACAATACCAATGCCGAGCCTGGAAAACCACCAATAGCACCGAGGTTAGATGGCCAGATAATGTTGGAATGGTCATCATTCGAGGAGGACGTAACAAAGGTTGGTGTGTTTAGTAGTTTTCACGGGTTCGTGGGGAGGTTGTTTGGAAGTCGGATATCTATTCCTATGTGTAAGACGTTTTTATTTAAAATGTTCAGTTATTAGAACTATAACTTTTATCACTCTAGGGAAAAGCTTAGTTCCATGCAAATGGCATGCGATACAAGAATAGGGCGTTCGCAACAAGATTAAGAGTGGCTGTCCGTAACGGTCGAGAATAGCGGGACAGCGAAGGAATTTTCAAAGTTCTCATATTTTGTCAGAAGATACCCTTTGGTAAGCTCTTTCAAAAAATCTAGTTTAAAACTTCGAGCGCTTTTTTATTTTGGCAAATTTTACGAAAATGTAAAAATCGACTTCCGGTCCGCTCTGGACCGGGGTGAACAGCCCAAAATATTATCCAAATTTAAGAAGGCCTCACTCGTTCAAAAATACTCGTATCGATCTGATACTTTTTTAACAATTTAACTAACTATCAGACTCCAAAAGCGATAAAAAATATGTTTGGAAAAATGATTTTTTTCTCGCTTTTTTGGCAATGTTTTTGATGGCATTTCAGGGAGCTACAACGCGAAGCAAATTTTAGCCTTAGTTGAATGCCCTAAATCATCACCTGGTATATATTTTATTTTCACTAATACTATTTGATTTGAAAGCTTGTTTATTGAACTTCTTTTCCTGAAAGTATCAGCCTTGGAACGCAAATACTTCCCCGCAGTCAATCGACTCTTCTATGTAGCATACGGCGGTCTAATTTCGGCTTCAGAATCAAAGAGCCTGCTTCGTGAATGCTCAAAAACTTTCTTGGATCACCCAGAATGAGCATTTAGATTGTAAACAACATTAGTTTGATGTCTGTAAACTATTATCCAGCTATATATCATTGATTTAATTTTCGTACTGGAATTTTTTAGACCGTAAGGACTTAAGCGTACGAAATCTTTAAGTTAGAAAAAAACCTAGGTATCCCATCAAAGACAAGTTTTTTTTCTTATTCTTATTTCTTTATTTTTGTTGAATATACTTGCTCCAAATGCTCTCCAATTTCAAT